TCCATGAACAGGTGTCCTGTTCATTTACATCTTGTCTGTGGCCACTTACAGGCCTTCAAAGCCTAAAATATTTACTATCTAGCTTTTTACAGAAAACAAAAATGTTTGCCAGCACCTGATCTAGTTCATCACCCTAATTTTGCAGAGGAGAAAATTAAAGGTCAGAGAGGGGAATCAGCCTTTCCACAGTAGCCCAGCTCATCAGAAATGGGCCTGGGATGCATTTTGTCCGGTGCTCTGCCCACTGTGAGGTGGGGTCTGCCCCAAGATGAGCCCTCTGCGGACACTCACTGTGGTGGCCAGTGCAGCTTTTGAAAGGAAAGTAAATATTTAGAACACCAAGGACATGTAAAGTCGTGATTTCTTAGAATTCTTAGAATTTTTTTTTTGAGTGGCTTAAATAGGGTTTTTAAAAATTTTTTTTTAGCATATTATGGGGGTACAAGTGTTAAGGTTACATATATTGCCCATGCCCCCTGCCCCCCTCGAGTAAGAGTTTCAAGTGTGTCCATCCCCCAAACGTTGCACATCTTACTCGTGTGGTTGTATATACCCAACCCCAAACCCCCCCCCCCCCGATTTCTTAGAATTCTAATTTTCATTTGAAATCTAGTGCTAGGAAGTATTTTAAGCTTAAAACACATTTGAACTATCTAAACAGGCAGAAAGATGCCTCCCTATTTCCTTATAACAATTGATTCCCCCCTCTGTGCAGCATTTGGGTTGTAAAGCAGAGCAAGATCAACAAACATGGTCCCCACCCTCCTAGGTCGTAGAATTTCATTGAGAGAAAAATAACTGTGGTCTCATGCAAGTTTGAACTCGAGCAGTTTCAGAAAATTACAAAAGCATATTAGCTGGGACTCAGGTCTAAGGTTGTATTCGCAAGATGCCAGGAATCACCTTCTGAAAGTGAAGTTGCTTTAACTGTCCGGCACAAGTTCCTCCTCATCCCCGCCCCATGTGGGGACAACACCAGGGTGTCCGTGCTTGCTGGCTGGCACAGGACTCCCAGTGTTCAGATTTCCACTAACTGTCCCAGAGGCGAAGGTCGATGAGGTTGGGCCAGGTATAGATATGAAACAACGGTGACTTTCCCAGTTACTGCCCTCCTTAGCTCGTTGCCAGTTCTCCCATCCCTGCTCGGTGGCAGAACCCTCAGCACCACCGTAGGCAGATTCTACAACTTCACAGTCACTTTGTGTGCAGTTTAAACCTCCAATCTCTGTCCAGTTTGGAGCCTCCCCTCCACGTCGCCAGCAAGGTGTGTTGCCCGAGGAGCTGCCAGGCTGCTGGCTCTTCCTCTGCCACCTCACCTGCAGGAGCCGGGGCGCAGGCTTGCCTCCTGTCGGCCTCTCCCCTGTCTTCCCAGGGTCTGGTTCCTCCAGTGTGTTGGGCAAGACAGGAAGGGAAGAGGGAGAGTCAGAGTCTCTTACTTCACTGGCCACTGTTGGCACCTCCCCCGCTTGGCCATCCAGCTCCCCTGAGTGGTACCAGTTAGCCCAGGTGGCCTCCTCCTCCTCCTCCAGGGCAGACATGCAAGGGCTGGCTTTCTCGTGGGGTTCTACCCAGGCGTATCCCCCACATCCTCACTGCTGGAGACCTGACCCAGCATACGCTGCGTTTTGGGTGAGCCCTGGCAGCCAGCCCAGGCTCGTCACTGGTGTACAGTTGACCCACAGAAGGCTCATGCCTTCTCACCATGCCCAGCAGTGGCAGGGCCCTGGGCCTGCTGTGTCTACCTGGCCAGTTCTCTCCTGCCACGCACAGTCCTCATCCCGTTCCTCAAAGGCACCAAGCTCCTTCCTTTTTGCAGGTGCTTCTGTGCCATCTGTCTGCAGCGGCGTCCCTTCCCTGCACACTCGGTGTGTCTCCACTCCTCCTTCAGGTCCTGCTGTAATTGCTGCTTCACTGGGGAAGCTGACCCTCGGCCCTGACGCTGCACGTTGATTTAGGACCCCCTGTATTATGTGTTTATAAAACCCTGCTATTTCCCTTCACAACACTTATCACAGCTATAATTGTATAGTATTTAAGCCATTATCTGTTTTCCTCCAGTAGACTGTCATTTCCTCAGGGCAGGAATCGTGTCTGTCGTGTTCCCCAGTGCAGGGCCTGGTATGAGCGGCACCCAGCACGGCCTTGTGAGAGCATCAGAGAGAAGAGAAGTGCTGCTGCCCAGTGTATTCTTGTCATTCCACCCAGCAAAGAGGGATTCCATGTGGATATCTTTTTTTTTTTTTTCATATTTACATTTTTTTTTATTTCAGCATATTATGAGGGTACAGATGTTTAGGTTAGGTATATTGCCCTTGCCCCTCACCCTCGAGCCAGAGCTTCAAGCGTGTCCATCCCCCAGGTGATGCGCCTCACACTCATTATGCATGTGGATATCTTTTAAATCCCTTTGCATTCTTGGGAGTATAGTATTTCAAAATTAATGAAATACTTTAAATTATTATTGTTTAGGTACCGGGTGAAATGAAGTTGAATTAAGATAAAACAAATGCATAAGGTATAGTTTCTTCTGCCCAGTGACAGTTTAGTTTGCCACATGAGTCAAATCAGTTCAGCAAATATTTGCCAGGTACCAGGACACTGTCAGTCGCTGAGAATATGCGGAGACATGGATCCAACCTTAATTAGTCAGCTCGGCACAAGTTGTAGTTCAGTTTCCCAGTTTTAATTATTACTTCCTCCTCTCTCCCTTTATTCCTCCCTTTCTTTCTCTCTCCCTCACTTTCTGCTTGCCTGCCTGCCTTCCCTCCCTCCCCCCTCCCTTCTTCCATGTTTATTAATCCAAGGACCCAAGCTTTATTTCCAGTAACTTGGAAAACTGAACCAGGAGCGATTTTTTATAGTGTGGTTTCTGTGTGATCACTTATTTTTCTCTCTGGAAAGGAGAATTCATAGAACCCCTCCGTTTTATGTGGGCTTAGTTTCAAAGGCTGGGCTTCGGCACACATTTGGAAAACCCTGGGTAATGTACAGGGGCTACAAAAGTGTATTTGAAGCAGAAATTGAAAGATTGCAGGTTGTTTTTCACCCAGCACATCTGTTCTCTTCACACACTTGTGTGCATCATCGTGACTTTTAAGAAGTGCTCATACAGAGGACATTTGGCTTTCGATAGGAAGCCACGTCTGTTTGCCACAGGGTTGCTCTACCACTGTGGACACGAGTGACTGTGTTGGTTTCCTTGTCCCTTTCAGAGCTTCTGACAGTACCCTGGTTGTCTCTCTGTGTGCCACGGTGTGCCACTGACCCTCTTCTGTTCATCCGCTTTACTGGAAGCTGCTCAAGGAGAGGATAGAGAATAATAATTTATTTTTTTCTCTGTCCTCATCCAGTTTTGAACTCCAGAAATAGCACGAAAACAGATATATATATATATATATTTTTTTTTATTTTTAATAAAACTTTTGTTTCCTAAAGCCATAGGCCACCTAGTGGAGTAACTGGGAAAGGCCCAGTCTGAGGATAGAATTTTACCCCCAGGCCCCAGGGACGACTCTTGTACCAATCGGAGCCTTTGCAATAAAGTAATTAAAGGTTGTGTCACTACCATGCAGTATATGAAACCAAAGCGAGCTTTCTCGTGCCGAGTGAATTTTTTAGTGATATATTTCTAGGCATATTTAAGAAAGTGTTCCCCAAAGCCAACAGCATCAACCTGGGATACAAACGTCCTCAGTAGCCTATAGCTGGACATTATTTACATAATGTACTTAAGTGACTGAAATTTTTCTTCAGTCGACCCCAAATTAAGAACCTCTTCCTCTGGTGCTGCTGTAGGTTTCTTTTGTCTCTCAATTGTATGGTATTCAATGTATTCAAGAAACTAGATTTTTAAAAAATGATTCTAAAACTTGGAATTGGTGAGGAATTCAAGGAACTTCATTTTTAATTTAAAAACCTGATGAATAGAATTTCAGAGCTGGAAAGGCCCTTAGAAACTAGTGAGTCTAGTACTTTCTTTTGTTTTTTTTTTTGAGACAGAGTCTCGCTTTGTTGCCCAGGCTAGAGTGAGTGCCGTGGCATCAGCCTAGCTCACAACAGCCTCAAACTCCTGGGCTCAAGCAATCCTCCTGCCTCAGCCTCCAGATTAGCTGGGACTACAGGCATGCGCCACCATGCCCAGCTAATTTTTTTTTATATATATATTCGTTGGCCAATTAATTTCTTTTTATTTTTTTATAGTAGAGATGGGGTCTCGCTCTTGCTCAGGCTGGTTTCGAACTCCTGACTTCGAGCAATCTGCCTGCCTCGGCCTCCCAGAGTGCTAGGATTACAGGCCACTTCGCCCGGCCAGTACTTTATTTTCTACATGAAGGAAACTAAGGACCTAAGAAACAAAATCCTTTGTTGACGATCACATAGCCGTCTTCTTCAGTAGCTAATTCATTTCTCTGTGATCCTTATTCAGGAAGAAATCCAACTAAACCTGAGCTGAAGTGTAGTTTGAAAGCGCTCTTGGTTTTCCTGTTCCTTGTCGGGGGATTGTGCACGTGTGTGCGTGTCTGTGTGCGCGTGTTCCCTGTCTGATGTCTGAGCTGAGGCTCTAACCCAAGACCGAGCACGTGTGAGAGAGAGCTGGAGAGCATCCTCGCAACCGCTTAGCCTTGGCCCTCGGCACAGCAGAAATGGTGGAGGCCCAGCGGGGGTCAGGAGCGGCTCGCCCCATTCCACACCTAGCTGGTCACCAACCCAGAACCCAACCTTTCAGATGCCCGATGCACTGCAGTATTTTTCTCCAATGCCAGCCCCTCTCCCAGCAGTGTCACTCCTGCTGGTTAGGAAGCACGCGTACACAGTTAGCAAGAGTGAGTCTACTTGAGAAATAATAGGGACTCAAATAGAAAGAGTCTGCAATACGGTAAAGCTATTCGTGTCATCTTTAGGACTTAAGATTGGGACTTTTTTTTCACTTCCTTCTGTTGCCTTCAGAATTTAGGAAGACATTTTTATTTGATTTTTCCCTCTCTTTTCCCAAACCCCAGCATATAAATAACGACCACATTCATGGAGAGAAGAAGGAGTTCGTGTGCCGGTGGCTGGATTGCTCAAGAGAGCAGAAGCCCTTCAAAGCCCAGTACATGCTGGTGGTGCATATGAGGAGGCACACGGGCGAGAAGCCTCACAAATGCACTGTGAGTACAGAAGGAGGCAGCGGGTGGTGGACTTGGGCTGTCCTCTCTCCCGAGTGGGTCCCTCCTTATACTCTTAAGAGCAGCTGCACGTGGTGACGACTGCAGCGGGGAGGTGTGGCCGGGAGGTTGGAGAAGAGGGCTGGAGCGTTGCCTGGCCATGTTGGACCGCTCAGCTCTGCAGGATGCACGGAGCGCCAGCGCTGAGAATGGGCTCAGGGCCTTGTCACCCGCTCAGCCCAAGAGCTCAGGGGACTCGGAAGGCAAAGGGAGGGGCCAGCCTCCAACTTACAGAGTTGACGTTGACTTTTGAAACCACTTATCCGTATATGTGGCTTTAAAGTGTCTCCTTGCTGTCGTAGTCAGTCCCGTGGCACGGTGTAGGCCGTGGAGTGGCTAAGCATTCTTCCACTGAGGTGCCCACCAGGCGCCCTGGGCGCTGCTCAGCCCTGGAACTTTACATCTTAAAGGCCTTTACAAACGTGATCAAATTCCAAGTCTTTGTATGGACACAAAGCCATATTAATGAACTTTGTGCTGAATCTGAAATCAGTGGGAATTCGAGGAGATCAATGAGCAGATAATGAAACCCATTGTCCACATTGAGCAGTCTATTAAAAATCAAAACAAAAAAAACTTTAGGACTTTCACTGGCACTGAAAACGCTTTCTCTCGCACTGCACCAAGCCACATCTGAATCCCGATAAGTGCAGAGTTTAGTGGACTTTTTTTGTTCCTTGGTTTTGAAAAGCTGCTGACCCTTGAGACGTCAGTTTTTCATCAACTTCGAGGGCGCATTAGGCATAAGCCGCGGTCGCTATTGTGTGGAGTAATCCAGGTTTACCTGTTGTCCTCAGTTTGAAGGTTGCACAAAGGCCTACTCGAGACTAGAAAACTTGAAAACACACTTGAGATCTCACACTGGAGAGAAGCCGTACGTCTGCGAGCACGAAGGCTGCAACAAGGCCTTCTCCAACGCCTCCGACCGTGCCAAGCACCAGAACCGGACGCATTCCAACGAGGTGAGCGTCCTCCGTGGGCCGGAGCTTGTGGGTGGAAGCAGAGACCCTCACGAGTACTGGACCTGGAAAGGTGCGGTGCTTTCTGTCTTCTCCTCTGTGCCGTTCCCAGCCTGAGCAGGTTCTGACCCTGCGGGTGAAGGTAGGGCTGAAAATGGGGTCCTACTTGGTGAATAATACAGACGAAGAGGGAACTTTTTAAAACCCCTGTGTGAACTCAGTTTCTTTGTTGTTCCTAACTGCCACCTACTGGTCAAACAGTAGGAGCATTTAATTTGGAATTCAACCCCACTTGCTCTGCCCAAAAGAGCATGAGTCTATGCAAAGGATGACCCTGTAAGCACCAAGGATGGATTCAGAAGCAGCAGCATGTTGGTAGCTGGCAGCTTACAGCTAAGACAGCACTTTTATTTGTTTTCGCCAGGTGGTATCTTCAAATGCATTATATCAAAAAAGACTTACGGAGCAACCAGCCTTGGCTAAATACGATTTCCAGACACTCTAAAGTCCAAAGGACCTTGGAAGATAGCCTCAGAAACCCAGAATAGTTTCCAGCCAGTTGTTTAAGATGATATACTGAGTAAAGCTTCATGGTGGTGGGTGGTTCCTATTGTATTGCTATTTATTTGTAGGTAGTTATGACCCCCAGAATTGCAGGGAAGCATAAGAATGAAAATGGTTCTACATTCATTTTGCTCACATTTTAATGCACATCTGCCAACAGACCTCCAACTTGTCTTTGGAGGTCTGGCTCAAATTCTGGCTTCTCTATGAAACCTTCTCTTGGATGTATCAAGAGATTGACAAAAAGACACCCCACGTTTTGGGTAGAAGTAGGATAACTAACAGGAATTTGTTAATATGAGACATAGTACAGCCCCCAAAGTGTATCAGCAGTTTGCTCGAAAGGGGCTAGAGAAAGGAGCATTTTGCACACGTGAGACTATGGAGTGGCTTTCATTTGACCTCAGCAGATGCAAGTCAGGCTCTTTCAGGATCTTTCAGATGGAGGGTTGGAGACAGAATCCGTGAAAACAAAGTGAGCCATTCTGCTCAGTGGCCATTTGACCATCAGGTGGTGAAGATAGTTCTCACCAAATTTTCTTTCAGCCGAACTGATAGAGCAAAAACATCTCTAAGGAGATTAGCCACACTCTCTCAAAAGCACATTCACACACAGACTCACACAAGCAAGTTCATATACACCAACTCTTTTTGAAAAGGTCACAGTGGAATAAGGAAACTCAAGTCACTTGGAATCTCTCATTATTGACCAACTGTTTGAAGACATTTTACAGGAAATGCCACATCCTTATTTTTTTATGTCAAAAATGCTTTTACTGTGTGCAAGAGCTGCAGTATAATCTGTTGTACTTAATTTGTACAAAATTTTAGGGAGTCTAGAACAGGCAAATCCACAGAGACAGAAAGCAGATTACTGGTTGCCAAAGCTGAGGAGACAGAATAGATATGACTCCTGATGGGTTCAAGGTTTCATCTGGGGGCGGTGGAGACTCTGGAATTAGGTAGTGTGATGATTGCACAACATCTAGAATATACTAAATGCCACTGAATTGTGTAACTTAAAAGGATTGCTTTTATGTCATGTGAATTCTATCTCAATTTAAAAATTTTAAGGGGTTCTGACTTAGTATTTAATTAATATGTTTAACTATATTTCATATAGTTAAGTGTAATTTGGGCTAGAAATTTAGGGGGTATTCATTCCTATAGATTTTAGGCCAGCCCCCTCTCCTGTTATTGTGGAGAAATTTCAGCGGTGGATGTGTTAGGACTAGAATGCACACATACAAAGGTAATTACTGAGGTTTTTTTTATCTTTTTATGGACCTAGAATATTTGCATGTGTTTAGTTTCATTAAGTGTGTTAGAGTTGAGCTTGTGTTCTTCTGTGAGGTAAAAAGGGCCATGCCATATGAGAGTTTAATATCTGTTATAAGATTAAGAGATAGCTTTATCAATAATATCATTTACCAAGGTTGAGCAAATCACCTAAATTAACCTTGATCACAAAGACATAATTACAATTTTGCTCACAAACACGTAAATCCTTTTTCCTATGTGCCAGGCTTTGGCCTTGTGTATGAATGATGGACATTTTCTGATACACCAAAATTAAGTTTGTCCAGGAAATCCAGTTTTGTGTAATCATACAATCCTAGATACATCAAGCTATTTGCTTTCATTTATTCACTCTCATTTTTGTACCTTCATTTATTCACTAAACAAATACTGATAGCTAGTTATGTGCCAGGCCCTTTGCTAGTCTAGGTGCAGCCAAGAATATGGAATGGAACAGGAAGGGAGTGATTTCCATTTGGGGAAGCCATTCTGGCACTGTTCCATCCCTCAGGCTCTCCTGCCTGTTTAGGGCCACTGGGCTATAGCGGTGGCCGCTGGGAAGGCTCCCTACTCCTTACACACAGTTCCTGTTCCTCCCAAAGATACCACTAAACAAGTTTCCTCAAGCTCTGATTCTGTTGAATCTCCCTCTCCAGAAAACTCCAATGGGTTCTCTCTTTCCTACAGGAAAAGTGTGGACTGCTTAAGCTTGTAGAAGCACCTATTCCCCCCTCTGGCCCAAGCTTGCCCTTCCATTCCTGACCTATCGCTGTCCTGACCATGAACAGGACCTCCCAGAATCCTGTGCTGCGGACTGCCCGGCTTACATACATGAAGGGCTTCTGCCACTGGACCTTTGCTCGGGACACCTCCTTTAGCCCTCATTTTTATCCCTCAGACTCTTAGTCTCCTTTCAAGCCCCAGCTAAACTGTCTGCCTCCTAATAAAAGCTCCCATTTACTGAGTGCTTACTACATTCCATTCATCTGGTAAGCACTTTATGTACATGATCTTATTTAACACCATAACCCCATGAGCTGGCATTATGCCCAGATAGAGACTCTTAATAACTGATACCTCTTGTGATCATCCCAACTGAAAAATGGTCCCTCCTCTGTCCACCTCCTTATGTAGCATTCACACTTTATATTGTAGATAATTAGGTCATCTTATTTTTCCTACCCGATTTTATATTCCTTAAGATTAAATCCTGTTGTATGCAACTTTGTGTTCACAGAATCTTGCATACAATAGGGATCATTAACTGTTTATTGAAAAAAAAATGTGTAAGTTCTACAGTCAGTAGAAAAAGTATCAACTACATTCACAAAGTATTATCGACGTAGTGAGTCAGAAAGGTAGCAGCTATGCCAAAAGTTGAATATCCAGGACCTAAACAATGGGCACCTCAGTAAGTCTGACAACATTCATCTCAGCTTCTAATTATATTTTATTTCAATCATTCATTACAACAAAATTTAAGGACAATCTACATGAAGGGTTAATTATGTTTGGCTTATGGTTTTGTGAAGTGTAGATTTCCTGCACCTCACTGTGTTCTTATGAATCTCTGTGGATGGACGATGTCCATGTTCACATGCACGGGCACATGGGCACAGGTGTACTCGGATGGGCTGTTGTTCCTGGAAATGCTGACGGACATCTGTATGTATGCTCATTCCACATTACCTGTGCTCTTGCTTCTAGGCTAACCCGTAATGTCCACATGCATATATTTATAGGAAGAGCAGCTCTTCAAACATGTAGTGTGGCCAAGCTCTGAGTTCCCTCTAGCCTTCTGGTGTTCAGACCCCCGCCCCATACATCCAGGCTGCCCACTGATGGAGCAGCCTGTCACAGCAGTGCCATGAGAGGCACAGGGCCAATGTCAGAACACTGCAAGGTAATGGCACTAATCCTCAGAGCCATTCTTCTGTCCCTAATGCATAGAATTTGATGCGTTCATTTCATTATATATATATGGGGCAAATCACACAAGCTCCTGAATAGACATAATTCATAGTTAATGGGAATCAATTCTACCCAAAGGAATCTCGGATTTGGAGGTGAAGCCTCTCAGGATAATTTTCGGGATCTTTGCTTCACTGCATTAGGACATTTCAGCATTTCAGGCAGCACTCTGCTCTCAGGCTTTTAGTGAAAAAGCATCTCTTAGACATGCATTCTACAAGACGTGGCATCTTTTTAAATGTAATAGATACATTATATTCATCATGCCTTTTATGACGATTGCTTACCTAATAGCTCATCTTCTGGTATACAGAGATATAAATATATATTTACACGTGCATCTATGTGTGTATTTTATTTCATGCCACGTGAAAAAAAATCACAATGCTGACTAGCAAAGGCCAGTTGTTCTTGATGTGAGTAAATATTCAGCTATAAGCATCTATGTAATTTTTAATAACTTACCTGTAAGCTTGATCACTGACCCACATAGAAAATGAAATTAGCATGGAATAATTTACAGGCCTCGGTTAGTACTCAGGAGAAGAACCCAGGCCAGGAGTCCTGCGGCAGCCCCAGCCCTGCGCGGGGTATGGTGAGCGTTCACAGCCATCCCGTGGCTCGGCTTTCTGACTGTAATATCAGAAAGGTTCTGGGTATTTTGATCCTTGAACATCCCCACGCAGGTGTAATGCTACCCAGGCGAACATATTTAGTGACAACTAACAGAGGCTATAAGCAGTTTTGTTTTGTTTTTTTTTTTATTATGGCTATTCGTAAATAGTGAATTTTCAAAGGAGGCAGGGTGATATTAGATCTCAGAACCAGGACATCCATAAGAAATTTCTTCACACAGCCTCTTCTGAAAGGTATGCAGCGCTCTCCTAATTAGATGATAGGTGTCTTTTAAGCCTTCTTTCATCATCATCATCATCACCACCATCACCATCATCATCAACTATCTATTAAGTGCCTATCACGGCACCATGATACTTCTTCCCGCTCACAGTATAAATGCCTCTAAGAACATCAAGGCAATTTACACATTCTTAGTTCCCACTGAGCTCTCTCTAAAATAATAATCTATTAAGCCTAGATTATTGAACATAGAATAATGTTCAAATGGCCTTAATTAACCATTAGTTTCTAGAGATACGTGAACACCTCAAAGCCTCGTGAAAGTGTTTTGAACGAATGAGAAAAATGTAACGAGCAGCCACAAAGGACTGTTGGGCTGGGGCAGAATGATTTTCATATCACTCCGTTAACTCGTTCTCGTGGCATTTGGCAGAAACCGTACGTGTGCAAAATCCCAGGCTGCACCAAGCGCTACACGGACCCGAGCTCCCTCCGGAAACACGTGAAGACAGTGCACGGCCCGGAGGCCCACGTCACCAAGAAGCAGCGAGGGGACATACATCCTCGGCCCCCACCCCCGCGAGATCCGGGCAGCCACTCACAGTCCAGGTCACCTGGCCGGCCGACTCAGGGAGCCCTCGGGGAGCAGAAGGACCTCAGCAACACTACCTCAAAGCGGGAAGAGTGCCTCCAGGTGAAAACGGTCAAGGCGGAGAAGCCCATGGTATGTCATTCACTCTCCTGGTCTTCCCAGAGCCGGCCCAGGGTTATTTGAGAGAGAGGGACAAGACTGCCCCCGTCCTCACTGCATCAGGCCGTCTGAATTGAGGAGGGCACGGGCCCAGTGACCTAGATTGCTTACTTGGAGTTGATCAACTCAGACAAAGTGTTTCCAGGTTTCGAACTTTTAAAGTCGATCTAGAACTACACCACCTGTGGTATGGGAGGAGGCACTCACTGTTCAGCGTGTCTGGAATGTAGACAGTCACACATTGAGTCTCTTCGTAAGCATGCTTTCTGTCTTATTTGCCCTAGAGACCCTAACACGAATAAGCCACAGTTCGTATTCTTTAGGGGTTTACAAATGCGGCGGGAAGGACTGAAAAGTAAATACTTACCACTCAGTGTGATGGGGCTGTGTAGAAAGCATCCGAGAAAGGAGCAAACCGCCAGTGCACTCAGAGGGCAGAGGAGGACAGGGGACACTGACTCAGCACTCCACAGGGGCCGGGGGAGGGGCAGGCCAGGAGCAGGAGCCCTGGGAGCTCAGGGATGTGCAGGAGCACGAAGGGGCGAGGTGGGGGACAGCATGACAGCACAGCAGCAATTGAGGTTGATGTATTTTTTTTTTTTTTAAGAAACCACTCCAGTACCAGTCTAGAGATTTGGATAAACTGGAGACCATTTCTGCCAATCGTGCCTAAACCAATGAGGTGCAGAGCCAGGGAGAGATCTGAAAGATTGTGTAGGCAGACAGCTTTATGGTTTGGTGACTAAGAGGATATGTGGATTCTGCTACTTTTTCAACATCTTTCAAACTTCAATTGGTGATTTCATGTATGTACTTTTATAAAAAAACACCTAAAAATTTCAAAAGGACAACAAGAAAAACTAAAGGAGTAGATAGGAGAGGACACTGAGTACATTCGTATTTGGCCATGTGTAGAATGGATTGAACTGTGTGAATGTATTGAGTTCTAGGCTGTCACTCTGAGCTGTGGAGGAAACACCCCAGACAGAAGTTGCATGCTTACATTCTGGATGCACGTAAATGATAGGCAGATTTATGCTCAGTTAAGGGCAGAATTTTCTTAAAATTAGAGCAGTTCAGCAGTTGGATTGGCATCCTGTAAATTCATGAGTGATGTCACTGTATATATAGCAGGATATATGGGCAGGAAATAATGCACAAACAGTTCCACCATCAGCAGCGTGGAAAGCTACATTTTCATGGCTTAACTGAGTTTGTCTTTGAACTGTTAAGAGTCTTAGAGATTGGCATTAAGTCCAGCCAACATAATGCAAATAGGCCATCCAGATTTATCATTTGTCAGTGGGTAGTTGTACTTTGCTTTTTTAAAAAGCATCTTAATAAAATGTTTATGTATTATGATCAATTGTTATATTTTAAAATTAAAAGGTTCATAAACTATGTTTTATATACTTATTTTGGAGGGGTGCACATATCTATTCCTAAAATAAAGTTCACCAGTATAATAATTTTGCAGAACATTCAACAGTTTGTGCTCAAATGATTAATGAAACAAGGAAAGTGAATCTGTGGTCCCCTAGATTATGTCATCCTAAGATGATGATTTATGTTCTTGGGATATCCTAAGAACCTAGAATCTCTTGTACTTTTAATATACATCCCTAGCTCAAGAAAACTTGTCATATTCTCTCCACATACTCAGTGTTTAAAAAGAAAATTGGTAGACGTAAAAACTTTCAGCAATTTGGCTTAGTGACATTGAAATGCCCCAATGTGCAGAATATTTTATAAGGCAATTCAGTCATAGAAACATAGGACTAGAAGAGATCTTAAAGGTTGGGATTAGACCCCATATTTTATAGGTGAGGAAACTGAGATTGAGTGAGTTTAATAAGTTAGTCACATTTCCACAGTAGACGATTATGTGTGTATGTGTAAACACACTTAAAATATAAGTATCTGTATAGGCATTTACTAATGCACATAAGATTTACATTTCTAATATTCTTTCTTTAAGAACATGGCTTTGATTTGATCATCATGCTATAAATTAAATTCTTTCTTCTTTTTTCTTATTAATGCAACATCTCTTCTGTCTAATGCTCCTAAATGTCTTGTTCTCACTTCCTAAGGACAGTGGGTAATAAGGTGAGGGAATTTTGTCTTCTCTGTCCTTTATGTTTTGTTTTGTTTTCATTTTTACATTTAACTTTTTTTGTTTCATTTTTATTTAGTTTTTGTGGCTTTGTGATATCTTTGGTAGTGAACATTACTCAGATATGCTTCAAATATAGAAGCAATGTGTTTTGAACATTCAGCATGTGGAAAATGTGGAGTTAGTTGGTGAAATTCATTGTTCTATTTGTCTAGGTTTTCATAATATATCACACTGGGGCCGACCAAGCAGATGTTCTCAAAGACTACTTAATTATCGTACTGACGAGCATAAATTCATTCCTGCGCCAGACATGCACCACCTTCTTTGGGGAAGATCTGGACACACGTTTGTTGTTAGCAACTTAATTTTTATTTTAATGTCCAAGTTCACCAAAGCAGTTTTCTAATTTGTACCTTCTTACAGACTCTATGAAAGTGTGTGTCTGCCTGTGTGTACATGCCCATACACACAGATTCATGTCTCCACACACTCTGATTTGATAAATCCAAAAGTGAAAGACACTCAAAGGTCTGGAAACAACAAGTACCTCGGGTAGGAGCAGGTGGTCTGGCACTCCAAGACTCTGCTGAGGCAAAAAAAAAAAAAAGTGAAGCAAGGCTTCATATACTCATGATCAATTTTGTATATCTTACTTTGCTCTGCTTGGTTGCCCAGGACAAAGTTAGTGTATCATGTGGCACTCACTTAGAAAGTGTTTGTTTTTTGGGGGTGTATGTACTATGATAGCAGAAAACATGTAACGGGTTCCACTGAGAAAACCTCTTTAAAACCCCTTCCAGGTGGCACTGTGGCACTGTGCCTGGCACCTGAGACCGTAGTAGTCTGTAACTGAGTGAGTGTAGTTATCTCTCCCAAGAGAATTTGCCCTGTTGGCTGCTCTCAGTGGCTCTGGTTTCCATAGCAACACTGGACAAGGTGCCACAGATGCATGGAAGTAGCCGGCCTAGGAGCCTAGGCTAGTTGCACCATTAACTTTGTGACTTTGGGCAGTCACTGAACTCCTCTGAACATCACTTTTCTTATCTGTACAAAAAGGATTAAACTGTTTATCAATCAGGGCACCCCTGGAATTTTAGATAGAACAGTTCTATGTGTGTACCTGCCCTAATGCATTGCAGGCCATTTTATGCAGTGTTCCCAGATGTGAGGACAGCTAAGCGTTCTAGCCTCTAGGGAAGGTGGTACTTTCCCTGATTGAGAACTAGTGGACTAGATTAAGTTCCCATTAGTTGTGGCATTTTTTCAGTGTTCACTTGGTTGGGGTTAGGGAATCATTCCTAATTCTCCTACTGAACTGCCAGTGGCACACTAAGGGAAATTGTGAAATCATAGCTCATGATGGGTGTGATTTGCACTCTTTCTTTCTCTCTGGGTACAGGAGAAGCTAAGTGATTAAAGTTTTACCTCTTGTAGCTGCCTTTACCCACACACCCAGGTTGAATTTCTACAAAAGCAAGAAACTGTAGAAGGAGGGAGGAGGAGTTACAAAGAGCCTGGCTAGCCAGCCCTGAATAGCCTAGAGGGGCTCTGGATGGAGAGGAGGTAATGTGTGCTTATGGAGCATGTCTCGAGTTTAAGTTTCGGCTGAGCAAAATGAACCAAAAGACAAAACCCACGTGGAATAAGAATAATTGCGAATGCCCTCTAAGCCAAATATTATTATCCAGGGTTTTTTATCCTTGTATGCTCTGTGGGTTTCACATTTCATTCCTGACAACAATTCCTAAGATAAGTGGTCCCCATTTTGTAGATAAGGAAACTGAGGTTTAGAGTGGCTAAGTAATATGCCCAAAGAATACAGTCATGGAGGTGAGACTGGAACCAAGGAAGTGAGTTTGCAGAGTGGGCATCTGGGCAGGGTTCCATGGTGGCATACCATGCCGCTAGCATCCTCTGCTGTGCATTGCCTCCCCCTGCACATGAGCCTGGTGTGGTCCATCAGTCATTTTGGCCAAGAGCGCCCACCTCCATTCACCAGAACGTACTTTTTTCTTCTCACTCAACTGGCTGATAATCCTGAAGGTCTTGATATGCATGAGCTCTCATTACAGGCTCCGTTGCCTGTACCTTCCTGGTGACGTTTCTTTCCTTCCCTCTTGACCCCAACAGACATCTCAGCCAAGCCCTGGTGGTCAGTCTTCATGCAGCAGCCAACAGTCCCCCATCAGCAGCTATTCCAACAGTGGGCTCGAGCTCCCTCTGACCGATGGAGGCAGTGCAGGAGACCTCGGTGGCATCGACGAAACCCCGATCATGGACTCGACCATTTCCACTGCAGCCGCAGCCCTCGCTTTGCAAGCCAGGAGAAACCCGGCAGGGACCAAATGGATGGAGCACGTGAAACTAGAAAGGCTAAAACAAGTGAATGGAGTGCTTCCACGGCTGAACCCCGTTCTACCCCCCAAACCCCCTGCAGTCTCTCCTCTCATAGGAAATGGTGAGTCTCACATCAGGCCAGGCATCTGCTTAGAGTTTTTCTGTTCTTTTTAATGTGGGCCCTCTGTTTTAAGCTTGCTAGTTTCTCCACCAGCCCTAAAATTTTCCTATAATTTTAATGTTAATTACATCCATATTAACGTTAAACCCATTTGAGCTGCCTTTCTGGAGGGTCTGTATTTTAAAAACAGGTAGGAACAGGATAATACTGAGACAAAAAGTAAGACTATATCTGACTCATACTCTGATGGTGAAATCATAGCTATTAGACTAGGGTAAGAAAATCCCAACAGCAAAGGCATCTGTGGTTAGCACCCTGTCTCTGGTTTCTAAAACTAAAACCAGGTTAGCAGCAACTTTTAATAATATATGCCTAGCTTAAGGAAAAGCAAGCACCCCTTCCCATTGTTAGTTCCTTCCTTAGTTTTTGCTTCCAAGATTACATAATACCTGGAGCACATCCTAAGGATGAACCTTTGTACTCTACCAACTCAGGTATGTTACCTGTTTGTAGGATGTAGGATCAAAGGGAAACCCCAAGTGTGGATGGGAAACTCCTAGAATACCTTTGGCCATGGACTTGCATGGAATTTGGGTGTTGTGTATACATCCCAGGATTCTTTCTGTCCTTGCACTATGCCTGTGGCTTAAGTAAATTGAGGAAATTTTCATCGTTTTGCTTAAGCCAGGGGTCAGCAAACGATAGCCTGTGTGCTATATACAGCCTGCCACCTGCTTTTGTAAAGAAAGTTTTATGGGACACCCAGCCAGATTTATTTGTTCACTGTTCTCTCTGGCCGCTTGGGGGCCACACAGCAGAGTTGAATAGTTGTGAGGGAGACTGCGTGGCCTGGGACACCAAAAGCAGTTACTGCCTGGCCCTTTGCAGAAAAAGTTTGCCGAGGCCTGGTTGAAGCCATCCTTGGAATGACTTCGTCTTCCCATCCTCTCTCTCCCTCTCTCTGTTTCCCCTTGCTCCACAGGCACACAGTCCAACAACAACTGCAGTTTGGGTGGGCCCATGACTCTTCTCCCGAGCAGAAGCGACCTCTCCGGGGTGGACGTCACCATGCTGAACATGCTGGGCAGGAGGGACAGCAGCGCCAGCACCATCAGCTCGGCCTACCTGAGCAGCCGCCGCTCCTCGGGCATCTCGCCCTGCTTCTCCAGCCGCCGCTCCAGCGAGGCGTCGCAGGCCGAGGGCCGGCCGCACAACGTGAGCGTGGCCGACTCCTACGACCCCATCTCCACCGACGCCTCGCGCAGGTCCAGCGAGGCCAGCCAGGGCGACGGCCTGCCCAGCCTGCTCAGCCTCACGCCGGCCCAGCAGTACCGCCTCAAGGCCAAGTACGCCGCGGCCACCGGCGGGCCGCCGCCCACGCCCCTGCCCAACATGGAGAGGATGAGCCTGAAGACGCGCATGGCCCTGCTCGGGGACGGCAGGGAGCCCGGGGGGACCCTGCCGCCCCTCAACCCCCCGCGGAGGCGCAGCGACGGGGGCGCCCACGGCTACGGCCGGCGCCACCTGCTGCTGCACGACGCGCTGGGGAACGGCGTGAGGCGCGCCAGCGACCCGGTGCGGACGGTGCCCGAGAGCTTCTCCCTGCCCCGGGCGCAGCGCTTCAGCAGCCTCGGCAGCTCCAGTCCTCCCGCGCCGCCTCCCTCCGGGGAAAAGCGCAGCCTAGTGCTTCAGAATTACACGCGGCCCGAGGGCGGCCAGTCCCGAAACTTCTACGCGTCCCCATGCCCTCCCAGCATCACCGAGAACGTCACCCTGGAGTCCCTGACCATGGACGCCGATGCCAACTTGAACGACGAGGACTTCTTGCCAGACGACGTGGTGCAGTATTTAAATTCTCAGAACCAGGCAGGGTATGAGCAGCACTTCCCGAGCGCGCTGTCTGAGGACAGCAAAGTGCCCCACGCGCCCGGGGACTTCGACCAGCCCGGGCTGCCGGACGGCCACGTGGGCCAGCAGTACCACGCCCTGGAGCAGGCCTGCGCCGACGGCAGCAAAACCGACCTGCCCATTCAGTGGAACGAAGTCAGCTCCGGAAGCGCCGACCTGTCCTCTTCCAAGCTGAAGTGTGGCCCGCGGTCCGCGGTGCAGCAGGCGCGAGCCTTCGGGTTGTACAACAGCATGGTTGTCCACCCACAGAGCGCGCTGAGGGGCGCGGCGGGGCCCGCCGGGGCGTATCAGGCCCTGGGGGAGAGCAGCGGCGCCTACGGCGGCCCGGAGCACTTGGTGGTCCACGGAGGCAGCGGGGCTGGCACCGCGGGGAACACCTTCCACGAACAGCCGTATAAGGCCCCACAGTATGGGAACTGCCTCAACAGGCAGCCGGTGGCCCTGGGTGCGCTAGACGGTGCCTGCGGTGCTGGGATTCAAGGGTCAAAGCTAAAAGGCGCCACCATGCAAGGGAATGGGGGCCATTTTGGTCTGCCAGGGGCCCCAAATGAGTCAGCTGGCGGCACCGTGAATGGCATGCAGCCCCCAGACCTGGTGGGCCAGGGCTACCTGGCCCAGCAGCTACTCAGCGACAGCATGCAGCACCAGGGGCCAGGCCGCCCCGGTCAGCCGATGCCAGGGCAGGTTAGTGCTACCTCACACATCAACAGCTATCAAGGGCCAGAGAGCTGCCTGCCAGGGACTCACAGCATGGGTGGCCAGCCGTCGAGTTTTGCGGTCGTCAGGGGCTACCAGCCGTGCGCCAGCTTTGGAGGCAGCCGGCGCCAGGCTGTGCCAAGGGGCAGCCTCGCTGTGCAGCAAGGACAGCTCAGTGACACGAGTCAGACCTGCAGGGTGAACGGCATCAAGCTGGAGATGCAAGGACAGCCTCACCCACTCTGTTCTAACATGCAGAATTACTCTGGTCAGTTCTATGACCAAACCGTGGGCTACAGTCAGCACGACATGAAAGCCGGTGCGTTCTCCATGTCAGAAGCCAACTGCCTGCTACAGGGGGCCAGCGCCGAAAACTCTGAGTTACTTTCTCCAGGTGCTAACCAGGTCACAAGCACGGTTGACAGCCTCGACAGCCACGACCTGGAAGGGGTGCAGATTGATTTCGACGCCATCATTGACGACGGGGACCACTCCAGCCTGATGTCAGGGGCCCTGAGCCCAAGTATCATTCAGAACCTTTCCCATAGCTCCTCCCGCCTCACCACGCCGCGGGCGTCCCTCCCGTTCCCAGCTCTGTCTGTGAGCACCACCAACATGGCTGTCGGGGACATGAGTTCTCTGCTCACCTCCCTCGCGGAAGAAAGCAAATTCCTTGCAGTTATGCAGTAGGCGTTAGGAAAAAAAGGACTGCAAACAAACGTAAAACTAATAGGAGTTGAAAAGATGGAACTGACTTCGTTTTTGGCTGGTCTGTTTTTTTAGTTCTGTATGTATGTTAGCAATCTCATCTCACCTAACTGGGATGTGTTTCAAGTATATTCCTTTTATGGAAAAGGACTCTGAAAAACCCTAAAGTATTCTAGGGAGAAACTGTCTTCCATTTCAGTTTTGAATCAGTATTGTTACACTCGAACCACCCTCTTTTTTAAAAAACTGTAAGCCCGCCCCGTTTTTTAGTAAACCAATGTAAATGTGTGATGTGCATGTTCTTCTTTCTTTTAGAAGAGCGGTCAAATTAAAGGATTTGACATGTTTCTCTGTTACTCGAAGGAAATAGGAGTTGGTGTGCTTGTGACCAGTGGGTTACACTTCCAGCTTTTTTTATTTTCCTTTGCATATGCTCAGTGTTTTGTTTCTGTGTTTTGTTTTTTGTTTTGCTTTTAATTCCCACATTGGGCACAAGAATCAGAATATGAGTTTAAGACTCTTTTGTGGGTGCACTGCAGCATAGATGACAGATTTTTTGATGTACTCCTCACCCCCAGTTCAGTTCAGGGCATACTTTCGACAGTTAAACGAAGTGGAAACTTAAGGCCTCTTGCAAATGAAGTAGTTTGCTCACAGTTTGGGTTTTCAGCTCTTGGAGTCCATAAATGTGCTTTGGGTGGCGATGTCTATAGGGTCAGTTCTCAGTTATCTCTTGTACCTCTTTTCCGTCTGCCTTCACGAGCATTCGGTGCTGTTTAGGGCTGCCATGAGAGAGGAAATAGGCAGTTGGTGATGCTCGGATACCACCTTGCTACTTTTATCTGTTCTGGTAAGAAATTAGATAGATTGTAGTTTGAAGCAATTGGATAGAATTAGTTTGGGCAATGTTCCTGGGTTTGCTGTATTTGTTGATCAGTTCCATCTCTTTCCCCATTATCATAGATAACTGAGAATTGATTATATATAGCTCTAAGTATATAGGCATTTAAACAACCTCACAACCAGCTTTATCATTAACCCTTATTAATTCCACTGTAGTGAAGGAGTATTTCTATTCTATACGCCCTATTTTAAGGGATTTATAAAACTTACTTACAAAAGAAAAATCTCACATACTTTGATATTGGGAATAAATTGCTTCAACCATTTTTAGTATTTGAGAGCACTGGGGACAAGATTTAGTAGCTGTATGGATGCCTTTTTTCACACCCGGTCCATTGAATGTTGCATCCATTTAAGTAGTTAAATGTTACATGCAGTTAGTCCTTAATGTGGACTAGTGTCTGTATTTTTGTTTTGAATTAAAACATTTAAAGATTTTAAAAGTGCAGCTACTCCCCACAAACAGTCAATACACATAAAAGTCATACTATGTGTGCAGAGAGAGTACATGGATTATCCAGCATATTGCTTTTCAAATACAGGAACTACTAAAATAGAAATACTAACACCTCCAACTACCCGCTATATTCTGTCCCATTGACCCCTGGAGTTGGATTTATCCAAAGTGATTCGTGACTCAATTGTGTGGCTTTTTCCCCTTTATTCCTGCTGTTTAAATTAGTCGTAGGAAGACAAAATCAAGTAAAATGAAGTGTTAGATAATAGAATGTTAGGACCAGCCCATTTTTGTCATGTTTATTTGCTCTCATTTGGACCAAGAATCTCAGTATGGAGGTGTTTTTGCCATTTGGGACCTGCCTGCCGTCCTCCCCACCGCCCATGCCTTCCTAGAAATTAAAGGATGTGTCCCCTTTGGAACAGCCCCAAAGCAAAAGAGAACTACTGATCTGAGCCCAGGAGAGTAGAGTCTCTACTACTTTTCAGCTGAAAAAGCAAGGCTTTATCTGTGTTTCTGAAATAGGTCATGATGATGTTCACAAAATCAGAGATCTAATCTGATTTTTCCACAAATCTCTAAATCTCCAGGTCCTGGTCTTATTTTGCATGTTGTAATGGTTTCGCCCAATCCCTTTCCTACCCTTGGTTTCGGAGAATGGGGCCCAAGTGTTCTCCACCCCCAAGCAAGGCATGTGGGTCTGGGCGCCATGCCGAGCTCCTCCCCCAGAGGCCGTTCCCTGTAGTATCATCATCCCTGTATCAACTTTGTCCTTCCTGGGGATAGTGATCAGGGCCAGCACAGTTGTCATCCTGTGCTGCTCTTTTTTTCCTTTGGTTTCAGGTTGTCTTCTGGGTTTCCCCTTTTATTTATCTTTTTGTGTTTGTGTTTCCTTGCTACTGCTTTTAGATTTGCAGGAGGCACAAGGTTCAGCTCAGTATTTCAGTTCTCTCAATATGGAAATTACAGAAGGAATGGAGGAGAGGAGGGAGGGAAGAAGAAAGTGTACTTCTTCAGGATTGCCAGGATCTGTCGCGATGGTCCATTGGAAGGAAGGTCTTTTGAGGTCACTTGGAAAATACCCCGTTGGGCCGTGGGATCTCTGTAGCCTTGGCATCTCATACCTTGGGACCTGCCTCCAGTCGTCTCTCCGTTTCTCTGACCTATGCATCCAGAGACCACCGACTCACTAGTGTCACCGCCCTGCCTCTTCTAAAAAATGCAGGCTCACACGTGGTACTCCTGCTTCACGTCTGTGTTAAACTTCTTTTTATTTTTCCAGCCATTTTTGTTTGTCCTTCTAAAGAACTAAACTACTCCCCACTCCTCACACATTGACTCGTTCTCTTGAGCCGCAGTGTTTTGATTCTTGAGATGTATGTGCCTTATTTTGTGTTAATCTTGTCAAGGAGAGGACCAGCTGGTGTTGTCCAGGCAGTGCTCGGAGGCTGTGCACGCACGGGCCGGAGAGCACACGCTTGCTGCGGAGTCCAAGCCGTCTTGTCACCTGGTTTCCTGTGTTGTTTGGCACTGGCAGGAGGATGTTCTCATCTGACAAGTTACCCTTGTGTATCCTGCAGACGTGTAAGATAAAAATGCAAGTTCATTTTTTTCACCTTTTTTAGATTTTTTAAAAAATAAAACGTGTAATCCTTTTTTAAAAGAAACACATGTAAATACATTTAAGTATTGTAGGCATAGTGTTTGGATGTGACCGGCCCCGGGCCTCCCTCGGACAAGCCTGCAGCCACCACGATGCTCCGCGCCCACCTCAAGCCCAGGGGCTGCAGCCCAGCCCCAGATGAACTCTACCTTTGCTTTCAGAACCACTTAGTCCTTTTGTAACGAAGAAAAAAATGTTTCTTACAATGTCAATAAAAAAACTCTTTGTACTGAAATTTTATTATTAGGTTGTTTATTTAACTCATAGCTGCATGGAAAGTGTGCCGTCTTTGAAAAAATCCAGAGCCCGTGTTTGGATCGTAACCCCCACATACAAGCTGAGGGAACTATGGCCCTGAGGCCCAGACTCCTCACCCCTAAAGTGGGGAAGATGCTGCATCATGCGTTGCATCACAACGCTCATGCATGTGTTTCTCAGGAAGACAGTAGTAGTCTAGCTTGTCCCACTTTTATGCATTATCCTCTCATTTCAGAGGTACCCTAGCACATGCTAACAGAAAATCTGACATGATAGGAAGCCTGCGTTTATGTGGCTTTGAGTAACTGACCTTAGAAATGTAAAGTTATTTGCCTCGTTTGTTTTTTCATGTCGGTTTGCAATATCATTCTCCAGGTCACCATAAAAGACTCCCATCGTCTTCCCTTCCTCTTTCTGAGTAAGCAGCACGTGTCTTTTGAGCCACCAGCTGAGGGTTGTTGTTTCTGGGAAGGGCAAGGTCCCGGCTGTGGGTACCCCGGGGCTACAAGGATGGGCGCACACAGGTGCATCAGCATGCGTCCCCGGGCGGCCTCTGTCCTGCGGGTGCTGACCGTGTCCTTCGCTGTCCTCTAGCAGGGTTTCTCCAGTCACAGGGACGCCCCATGCATTCCAGATTCCCCGAGGAGAATTTCCTCCCATCCATCCGAAATGCTTTGCTTTCATAAATAGATCCCTCACATAAAGTGTCCAAGTGAAGCCAGGGAAAAATAAGAAAAAATATGAATTTATATCCTGCCTCAGGTATAAATTGTCAGCTCACAAAGAGGCATGCCATGTAGCAAGCCAAAGTGAGACGAGAAAAGAGGCTAACAGGAAGAGTAGGAAGGGGGATGCCCGCAGGAATGAGACCCCTCCCCACGCGGCTGGCTGGCAGCGGGGACTGCTCACAGCTGGGTGTTAAAAATGCCTCCTGTGGAGACAACATGAAGAAAGCAGACTCTGAGGGAAAATGGTAAAGCTGCAATGCATTTGGTATTTCACAAAGATTGACATTAAGTAATTTTTGGAATTTAAAGACATTATATATTACCCAAACAAGAATATAATAGGAGAATGCTAAAATAAGATGGGGAAATTAACCCACTGCCAAAACGTCTTATTTCTTCTTTCTTCCAAGGTTTTCTATTTATTTTCTTGGCAGTTTTCCCCTTTGGTTTTACTTTAGAGTGTATTTACTATTCCAAACACAATCTGGGCTCATCTTTCCTTTAATATTAGCTTTTAGGTTTTTTCAAATCTCATTTTGCCAACATAGGCCTTGTTCATGCATTTTCTACCTAGTTATTCAACCTCTCAACAATTGTTAGTAATAGAATCTAAATTGTTTCTAGGCTTTTTTTTTTTCCTTCCCATGCATTTTGTGGCCACAGGCACTGGCCCATACTCACCCAGCAGAGGCCTGGAATCTTAGGTCTACAGATCTTCCTGCCCTGAACCTTCAACTTCACATGCAGATTCCGTCCTTCCTCAGCACCCAGTGGGTGGGAGCTTATGGTGGCCCCTGTTTTCAGATAAACGTCTGGGCAAGAGGACAGTGACATGTGCCATTAATTCAGCCATGCTGCCTGGATATCCAATATTCCATTCACATTCTTTAATATGGACTAGAGAAGATAAATAAAACTTAGTGTACTCATGAGCTCCTAGCCCAGTGGGAGAGACAGACTTGTAGATGCAGAGCACAATGGCATGTCCTAATGAAAGATGTTCAAGAGGAAGTTCTGCTTGGGGCATTAACCATCTGAAATGCTTGCTTAAACTTGCTACTATTGACATTTGAGGCTGATAATTCTTCATTGTTGAGCACTGTCCTCAGTGCTGTAGGATATGCAGTGGGTCCTGGCCAATACCCATTGGATACCAGTGGCATCCCCCCAAGTTATGACACCTGAAAACATCTCCAGACATTGCTGCATGTCCCATGGGGACAAAAATCGCTCCAGGTTGAGAGCCCCTGGTTCATGGAATGAAAATACAGAGGAGACATAACAGCAGGCAGGGGCCCAGAGGGACATTCCAGTACAGACCTACACTGAGGACCCTGTGGTCTGCAGGTAACAGGAAGAAAGGGTGAGATCAGGTGTCATTACCAGGCATGGTGGCAGAAGGAGAGGACTGAGAAACAAACCCCAAGGAACGCTGGCCCCAGGGACCAAGGGATGAGGCTGGCACCGGTAAGGGAGGGTGGGGAGACTGTGAGCTCTCGAAACGGAGGTAAATTTCAGGAGGCAATACTATCAAAAACAGCATCTAGGGCCAGTAAAACATGGGCTGAAAAATGACAGGTTTTGAGAGTTAAGAGACCCTGAGTGACACTGGGGAAGGTTGGGAACAGAAACCCCATAACAGTTGAGAATTTAGTGACACATGATATTAATACAAAGGAGAATTTAGTGCATGCCCATTCCATCCCATCCAAGATGCCTTCCAGAGTGAGACATGCATTACTCCATGTTCCCACTAGGGAAGAACAAGTACTACTGCCAAATAAACCATGACACGATGCTTTTTATCCTCCAACAGATGTGCTCCAGTTTCAGTGGTTACCCAGGGGGGAAATGCATACCTCCGAGGGTACGAAAGACGTTATTTCCTGAGGAAAGGAAAGGGCTCGTGGGCCAAGGAGAAGTGGAAGTGTTGAATTTTTGTTGTGATTGTTCCTCTTTCTTCCCTCTCTCTCTCCTCCTCCTCAATGCAAGAGGCTTGGCTGTGTTAATTGGCCGTCATGAGGCTCACTCATCAATGTCTACTGCTCAGCTCCTGCAGGACCTGGGTGGGATTGACTTGGGGGAGAGGTTATTTGGATCTTTACAGGGAAAATAATTTTTTTTAATGGCAGTGATAGGAGGGGTGGCATGTGAGGGGGTGCTGGGGAAAGGCTGGAGGGGAGGCAGAGTGGAAGGTGCCCCTGGTCCCACACGGGCCACAGTGGCCCTGTCCCTGGCTCCATGAAGCAGGCAGACCCCCTCCTGGTCTGCAGGTTCCTCCTGCCTCCGGGTAGAAGGGAAGCAGGGGACGCGACAGTGGTGAGGAATGCTGTGTCCTTCCCTCCCCAGCTCCTTCCCAGCCCCCAGGAGACAAAGGCAGAGTGTGACCACAGTGACAGGGTGCTGGGGGGAGCCAGGACCTGCCGTCACCAGCTCTTCACCAAGTAAGTGGGCAACTTTATGTGGAATTCCCAGTTGGTGCATATGGGCTGTCTTTTTCACTATACAGGAATATTTTAATGAAGTAACAGGCTCGTTTCTCATTGGTACCTCGACTTCTCACCCTGCCACGGCTCGGTGGGCCCAGCTCACACCCCCGTCTTGCTCCCAGCTCTCCCTCCTCCTACTGGAGATGTCCCAGGCTGTGTCGGAGTGACCAAAGTGAGAGGTGGCCTGGCAAGCCTGCTAACCAAACTGGAAGGAGCACCAGCGCTGCTGAACAGCCGGCCAGCCTCGCCCAGGACCCTCCCTGCGGCAGAGGGGCCAGCGTCCCCAGGCCAGGATGGGCTAGGGGAGGGTGCACAGGTTGGCTTTGCTCTCTCCAGGCTACTTGTGTCTAATGGGGCTTCTTTCCCATGCCCGGTGTAAAGAAAGACTCTCCAGTCACTTAAATTAGGGGCAGCTAAAGCCTGGTCACCTCCCTGCTTTTGAAAAAGGTCCAGCCTTGGAATTCGGGTTTCTAATGCCAACGGTAGAAGGGGTATCTCAGCAGTCCCCTCCCTCCTGTGGACTCAGGCCTGAGCCATTGAAATAAACACCCCCAGTGTGCTGCATTTGGTAGCGTTTATCACCCCATGCCTCTCGCCTGGTGATCGGACAGCTGCAGAGCTGCAGAGCTGCAGAGCTCATGCGCTGGAGCTTTACCTTATCTGAGGTCATGGGAGGAGATGCAGGGGGAGAACCAGTCCTCCGCTCTTCCTTTGCTTGCCCACCTTCCAAAACCTCTGCTCCTGGAAGGGCCCCTAAGGAGACAGGCAAAGAGAAAACACTTGCCCTGGTGAGCAGCCCAGCCCATGTTGAAGGCTGCCGTGCCTCCAGAGGGGCGTTCTTCCCCTGCAGCTGGGAAGCCTCACGCACTCAGAAATTCCAGGGTCCCGACATGATCCATGCTCAGAAGTTGGGCTGCAGCTCCTCCTCAGCGCTGGCAGGCACAAGGCTCCAGCCCTTCAGGGCTTGCAAGAGCCAAATGCGCTGCGGAGGTGTGATTCACTGAGTTCCCAGAGGGAAGGACGGCAGCCAGCTGGCAGAGGATTACTGAACAGCCAGGCCAAGGCATTCCGTTGCTGTTTGGAGGGAGACAGGCGGCCAGCCACCTCCCTGCTCCTCCTCCCCCGCTGCGGCTGGGAGCTGGCCACCAGCCAGGGCTCTGGGGGAAGAAGAAAAGGAACAGAGCTGCTTCACTTACTACCAAGATAAGAAGTCTGTGGCCGGTATCCCCAGTGAGTCAAGACAAGAAATACATGCATTTTCATTTGAAGTTGATTCGGATGCCCCCAAATGTTTATCCAAAATATACCTAGATGCCTTGCCCAGAGGGAATTGTTTAGCAAGCAGCAAAGTTGGTAGGCAAGAAAAAATAATATTGGCGAAGGAAAAAACAAAAAGCCCAGTGTGGATGTCATAGCTCAAGGATTGGCTGTAGTCTCCCGATTAAGAGATTTATTTCCCCTGCACCTTGGGCATCTCAGGCTCTCTGGAGTGACTGTAAGTTACAGATTCATTGCTCAGCCATTCCTAACCCTGCTGCTCTGTGAACTCGGGTCCCTCGACACCTCCCATTTGATCCACATCCTTCCAAAGATGAAGTCACAAAACATCACAATAAATATTTCTCCTGAAGTTCATGCAAAGAACAAAAACCAAAGATCCAGTGCAAGCTCCCTCCCCTTCAAGCTTAGATAAATGTGTCACATGAATGGAGATAATAGTCCAGTCCCTTTCTCATCCACCTCTGCCCCGCTGCGGGGCAGTGACAAACAACGCTCTATCATGAGCCTTCAAGGCAAAGGGGAGAAGAACATTCCGTTGACCTACAAGACAGAAGGTCAAGGAACAAGCTTTGCTTAGGTTGCCTTGACACGGGTTTCTTCACTGGCTCTGCGGTTTTGGACAATTTAATATCACCCCCCGCTGTTCTGACTGAATGGCCAGCAGCTCCCAGCACGTGATGGTTCCAGCTTATTTGAAATACATTCTGAGGCTGTCCTAAATCAAGTGGATTTAACATTCAGCCAAAAGGATTCTTGAAAACGAGCTGATTTTAACTGAGCCTCACCGGCCATGCCATCCAGAACTCTAGCCTCAAAGAAGGCGTGCCTCAAAGAGGATGAAGAAAAGGGAGTACTCTGGCACTCACCCAACTGGTGTCCTGTGGCTGAATCCTGGCACCACCCCCCTGGACAGTGGTGTTAGTGTAGACCCCAGGAATTAAGAGCTCAGTCCCCCACAGACTGTCCCAACTTAGGTGCCAGCCACAAGTTAAGGGGGTCCCCAAACCATCTGAACTTCTGACCCATTGGCTACAAATTCAGGGGTTCCCATGAACCCCTCGGGTTGATAATTCTTTAGAACGATTCACAGAATTCACAAAAGCACCACCATTATTACCGCAGTTTTATTGTAAAGGCTACAACTCAGGGAGCGCCAAATGAGGAAACATATAGGGAGAGATCTGGGAGGGCCCTAAATGCAGAGCTTCCAGGCTCTGTCCCTGTGGGATCAGATCTTTCACCAGCCAGGAAGCTCCTCCAAGTCTCCTTGCCCAGAGGTTTTGCTGGGCTCTCTTACATAGGCGTGATAGATTCAATCATTGGCCGCATGATTGGACTCAGTCTTCAGCCCCTTCCCTTCCCAGGAGTCAGGCTCGACTTAGCATCCCAACTGTCTAGTCGCATGATTGGCCTTTCTGGTGGTCATCCCCATCCCGAAGCTATCTAGGGGCCCAGCTAGAGTCACCTCTTTATCATAAACTCAGGCGCCATCAAAGGTCTCATAATAACAAAGACACTCACGTTATTGGCGAAATTCCAAGGGTTTTAGAATCTCTCTCCCAGGAACCAAGGACACAAGTCCGTCAAATTTCTTATTATACAACATGGGGCTTCTCCTTGGAAACCAACAGGTCCAGAACTGAGAAAGGAGCACGGATGAAAGCAAGATGTGACCGACACTATGGAGCCCCAGCTCACTGGGGAAGAGCTGGTCTGGCTGGCATTTGGTTGCAGTGCCAGCACTTTCTCTAACAACTGGATGTGAAACAGACTTACTCCTTGGAGCTTCAAAAATCTCATCTGGAAAAGAATGCTTGAGATTATGGATATAAAATGCTTAGTGTATGCAGCATCCAGTAAGTGCTCAATGAAAGTTTTTATATGGCTGGGTGCAGTGGTTCACACTTGTAATCCTAGCACTCTGGGAGGCCCAGGTGGGAGGATCGCTTGAGTTCAGGAGTTTGAGACCAGCCTGAGCAAGAGCAAGATTCTGTCTCTACTAAAAATTGAAAAAGTTAGCCAGGTGTGGTGGCGCATGCCTATAGTCCCTGCTATTCAGAGGCTGAGGCGGGAGGATCACTTGAGCTCAGTAGCTTAAGACCAGCTTGAACAAGAACGGGACCCCCGTCTTTACTTAAAAAAAAAAAGTAAAATTGTCTAGGCATTGTGGCACATGCCTGTAGTACCAGCTACTCGGGAGGAGGATCACTTGAGCCCAGGAGTTGGAGGTTGCAATGAGCTAGGATGACACCTCTGCATTTTACCTAGGGTGACAAGAGTGAGACTCTGTCTCAAAAATATAAAAGTTTTTATTGTTCTTAGTTCCTTTCCCTCCCCCTGGCAGCAATTGCTCATGACTGAAGTGCAGGAAAGGAGGCCACGACATGCAGGAAGACAGCGGGCTCCCTGGAGCCTGAGGCCCTAACCAAGGATGCATTTAGGCCCGTACTCGCCGGCCAGTCTGCCTGCTTGTGAGTTCTTGAAACACAAGGCAGACAGACTTGTGCCGCTTGCGTTTTAAGATGTGAGAACAGAACACCACAAAGGTATCTTCATTCAGACCTACCTTATAGGAATCAAAAACTCCAAAGAAGCAAACACTGTACCTGGTATTTTACTCAAATGTCCAAGCTATAATCTGTTCCTGATAAACAGTAATTGCAGAATTTAGATTTCCTAATTCTAAGATTTAAAAAGTATAATTATTTTTTAAAGGACATTTTATTGTCATATCTGTATGTGCATACGGGTATGATAATAGAGGTTGAGCATTCCTAATCCAAAAATCAGAAATTTGAAATGCTCCAAAAGTCAGAAGTTTTTGAGTACCAACATGACACCCCAAGGTATAATAAAAAATTACCTTCAAGCTATGTGTGTATATCTCATATATGAACATAAATGAATTTCATGTTTAGATTTGGGGCCCATCCCCAAGATACCTTGGTATAAATATGTAAATATTCCTAAATCCCAAAAAACCTGAAATCTGAACCACTTCTGGTTCCAAACATTTTAGATAAGGGATACTCAATCTGTGTGTGTGTGTGTGTGTGTGTGTGTGTGTGTGTGTGCGTGTTCATGCACACAAACATACTTGCACAATCCAAACCCACACTGTAGCCATTCTGGGCTTTGCCCTGTCATATCAGTCAGTTAGCAGTGTCCAGCTCTTGTCACAGCAGTAAGAACTGCACTCAAAGTCAATCCCTATTTTGCCACACAGAACACTGCAGCAAATTCATCTTCAATTATTTCATTGGTGCGGTTTTGAAAATGGGTGATCATTTCTTAACAATTAGTTTATCATATTGGAATGATACAGAGAAGATTAGCGTAACCCCTGTGCAAGGATGACGTGCAAATTCACAAAGCATTCCATAAAACACACACACAATTATTTTATCACAAAGTTTTTTGTTTTGATGCTTCACGTATTTTGAATTTAAGCTAAATTATCTTCTATAGCATTCAGGAACATGACCCAGTGGCAAGTCTGGTGATTAGAAATATACAGTTCCATGCAAAGACAGCCACTCAGTATTTTAGGGTGTTTATTCCCACTCCTTTTGCTGATGCAATTTTCCATGTAACATTCATTTTCTGATGATGAACCGAGTACATGCTCTTTGTGAAAAATAGAGTAAAGCATCAAAAGAAAAGAAAAGCCACCTGATCATTCGACCACCCAGAAATAAACAGTTAACATTTTGGGATCTAATTCTGGGTCTTCCTTTTACACATAACATTCACTGATGAGTATTTTTTTCATGCCATTAAAAACTCTTCAAACACCTGTGGGAGAGGGTGCGCGGGGGGAAGAGGGGCGATGGGAGTCGGGAGACCGGGCCGTTGCTTCTGTGCCAGGGACTCCCCGCCTCCTAGCTGCAGGCCGGCCGGCTTCTGTGTTTTCTTCTTTCCTTGTGAAGGAATCAAAATCCCAACAGCAGATGCAGAAAGAAGTCTTACCTGAACTTGCCTTATCTGACCAGAACAGAGCTTTAAGAGACTCAGCTGCCACCATGGACCCCCACCCCCCCATACCAATCAGGGCAGGGGGGTCTCCAGTCACGGTGGTGACTAACCGACTGACCTTGGGCACCAGGACATTTAAAAAAAATTGTGTTAACAAGTCTCATCGGAACCTTCCATCCCTGGAAGCCCTAGTTGGTCTATAAACCTTGACCTCCGGCTGGTCAGCGAGTCACTCCTTGCTGAGTGCTGCTGCACGCGTGTGTATCCGCTTGGTCTTTTGTTCTGTCACTACATCCTCTGTCAGTTCACTCACAGGCCTTGAATCACGGAAGCCCAAGATGGTGGAGAAGAAGCTTTCCTCCCCACCGTTGGGCAGTGGAGGTGGCTGCGACTCCTCACTCACGCCAAACACTGCCGCTGAGTTCTCTGCCCCCTCCCTAGTCACACTCCCAGGTCCCTCTGCTCAGGGGCCGGTCAAGCAAAGGGAGCCAAGAGCCTCTATTTGTCCTTTCCAAAATTTCGATTTACAGGAGAACCCTTTTCGTTAGAATTAGTTCTTTGGGTATTGTGACTCTTGTCACAGACAGCAGCTGTGTCGTTGTTGGTAGTATTTGGTGCTGTGCTGCCTGAACGCTTTGTCTGTTCTAAGAAGGTGAATCACAGAGCAGGATCTCACCAATAAAGCCAGGTGAGGGTCTCCTTCCACCTCAGCGTGTGTCCCAACCGCTTGGCTTTGGATGTCAGAGCATTGTCTGTGGTTTCCCGCCT